ATTTCGGCATTAAACTTAAATTAAATTATAATAAAAAAATAAATTAAATAAATTAAATAAATAATGAGAACTTTTAAAGAGTTGATTTGATATTAACATTGATATTTTTTTTTTCAAATTTTTATGATATTTTTAAATTGATATTTTATTCAAAAAATAAAATCATTATTGTTTTTCTTAAAAACACATAAAATCGTATTATAATATCGACATAGACAAATAATAAAATAGAACATTAAAATCGAGATGTATCTCGCTGCATTGTGCGAGTACTCTTCTAGTATTTTATAGAAATATGAATTTTAAAAGCAGTAAAATATGAAATCCGTGTTCCGTTTCATTGAAAAAATATATATATTTTGAGTAATGAAACTAATTTCATGTTCAATAATGACCAACAAACAATTTCACAATATTTCGAAACGTTTTATGTATTAAAAACGTTCATTAAATAAAAAAATATTCAGTTTTCAAAATGTCTCGCTAAATTTTTAAAATGTTTCATTTTTTATATGTTTCATCGTTCAACACAAATGACAATCGGTCTTTCTTTAATGGCAGTCACGTGAGTTCGTTCTATAGACGGTGAAACAGTTTCATTCATTGATTTAATGATACAAAATATTTTCTTTAGTATTCAAAGTGTTTCATTATTTTTAGTTGATTATAGTATGTTTTATATTTCATAATTTATTTGGATATACCCAACTCATTGTAGGTGACAAGGATTCACGTGAGTTAGGTAGATGAAACGGTGGAACAGTTTCATTCGTGAAATTTAATGGTACAATTTTTTTTTGCTTTAGTATTCAAAAGGTTTCATTATGTAATTATAGTATGTTTTAGTTCATTATGTTTAATTATATCCTAAGTTTCATTATAAAATTAGGTATATGCTAATAAATTTTGAAACATAAAACATACTATAATCAACTAAATATAATGAAACCTTTTGAATACTAAAGAAAAGTTTTTGTATCATTAAATTTCACGAATGAAAGTGTTTCACCGTTTCATCTACCGAACTCACGTGACTCTTTGTCACTTACAATGAGTTAGATATATCCAAATAAATTATGAAATATAAAACATACTATAATCAACTAAAAATAATGAAACACTTTGAATATTAAAGAAAATATTTTGTATCATTAAATCAATGAACGAACTTGTTTCACCATTTATAGAACGAACTCACGCGACTACCATTAAAGTAAGACCGATTGCCATGTAGTGTTGAACGATGAAACATATAAAGAATGAAACATTTTTTAAAATTTAATGAGACATTTTAAAAAATGAATATTTTTTTATTTAATGAACGTTTTTTATGCATAAATAATGAACGTTTTTTATGCATAAAACGTTCCAAAATATTGTGAAATTGTTTGCTGATCATTATTGAACATGAAATTAGTTTTATTACTCAATGTACATATATTTTTTCAATGAAACGGAACACATATTTCATATTCTACTGCTTTTAAAATTCATATTTTTATAAAATATAATGGTAACAAATAATAAAACATATTATGGTAAAACATTTATATTAAGAAGAAATGATTTACCTTCTATATGAAACGTTTTCATTATTACGTTTCCAAAATTAACAGTATTTATTACCTACCAATATTAATTAATATACAATTAAATGACTATTACACCCTTACAGATTAAAATTAAAGAAAAAAAACGGAAATTTCTTGTTGGTCCAAAGTGGTTTACATGGTTTTTATGAATTGAGTGGTTTGCAACGTAATCCGCCTCTCTCTATATATATAGGCGAGTTAGATTACAAACTGCCTGATTCGTGAAAACTATGCAAACCACTCTTGACCAATAAGAAATTTCCGTTTTTTATTCTTTTTTTAATAAGTAAGGGTATAATTGTCATTTTACTATATAATGGTTAATATTGGAAATGATTTAATTATTTTTAAATATGGAAACATAAATATATAAACCATTTATATGGAAGATGTAAAACAATTGTTTTTAAATATAATATTGAAATGATATAATTATTTTTAAACATGGAAACGTAAATATAGAAAGAGAAAATTGCACCAAAATAGAATCAACTTTCATCTGATTCTTATTTTTGGGACCAACTTTCAAAATCGTCATTTTGGGGAACCAACTTGCACCTGATTTCTATTTTGGGGAACCAACTTGCAAAATAATTATAGAAAAATAACTAAAATTCGTTTTTTTTAAATTAATGCAATAAAATCTATTTTTCATTTCAAATCTCATTTTTTTTTAAATTCAGATATCAAATTGAAAGTTTTTCCAAAAAAAATCGAAATTACCACAATAAAAAAATCAATTTAATAGAAAAAAAATTAATTGATGCAATAAAAAATAAATATTAAATATTACATCCAAGATTTTTATATCTAACAAATCCGTATCAATATTAAAGTTTAAATCAAATTTGGCAAATCAAATTAAAAGTTTGACCCTTAAATTATCTGTTACCTGTTCAACAGATTAAGCAGATCATTAAATAAACAAAAAGTTTGATAGAAACCCATAAATGACGATTTTGAAAGTTGGTTCTCCGAAATAAGAATTGGATGAATGTTGGTTCCATTTTGGTGCAATTTTCCCATATAGAAACTGTTTATTTGGAAGGTGTAAATCAATTATTTTTAAATACAAAACAGTGAAATAGTTGCATACAATGAAGATGACAGATTAATACAGTTTCATAATATGAAACAGATTCATACAGTGAACCAGATTCACACATGTGAGTAAGATTCACACATGTGAATAAATACTGTGAAACAAATTCATACAATGAAGAAATACATATTCATCTAGTTAAGAAATACAGATTAATACAGTGAACCAGATTCATACAATGATGAAATAACTTTTTTCATACAATGAAATAATTGCATACAGTGATGAAATACAATTTTATACAGTGAGATAAAGTTTCATTCAGTGAAATAGTTGCATACAGTGAAGAAGACAGTAAAATACAGTTTCATATAGTGAAACAGATTCATATGAGTGATTTGTCCATTTTACCATTTTTTAATTAAAAATTAAACTTTTTTTTAATATAATACTATTTAATATTGACCATTGATAAAAAAAAATGGATAGATGAAATTGATTTGTAGGATTTCCATAAATGAGATTTCTATATATATATATTTATGATGTGATATCTTAGATATCAAATTAAAAAGTTTTAAATAAGACTATACATTTATTTGTTTGACCTGATTATTATTATTATTATTTATTTGTTGCACCTAAAAATTTGTTTAGAGTGAATTACAATTTTGATCCTTTGTCTATGGTTACTTTTTGGTTTTCGTCCCTACAATTTGTAAAGTACATTAGTGAATAGGTGATCCATTTTTTTTTTCTTCGTAGACCAATGTAGTCCCCACCACTAAAGTCCATGCACACTTCCTAGGTGGGCAAATCTGTCATTTTCTCCCCTTTTAATTTTGTTTTAGAAAATAAAAATAAAATATTATATTATAAATATAATACGTAAGATATGAGATATATACTATGTATAAATGTATATATGTGTGTAGCGTGAAACACTCACCATCGCCAGCACCTTCACTCCCACCACACTTCCCGTTCCGTTTACGACGACCCCCACCATTCTGTGTTCCATCTTCCATGTGCATCCATCTCAAACTCCATGTCGCCACCGTTCTTCATCCTTTGTCCATCTTTTCTCACTTTCGACCACAGCAAAACCCTTATTATGTTGAAACCAATCCCCGTTGTTCTCCGTTGACAGTGAATGATCCTACTATCACCCTCCCTCCTCCATAGAGAGTTTATCGACATCCCTCTCCTTCTTCGTCCATTGTCTATCGAAGATATCAAACTCGAACAAGCTAAGGGGTTTGGTTTTCGAACAACGAAATCAAACTCGAGTTTAAGTATTTGATTCAAGATGCAGACCTAAATTTAGGTGGAGTTAAGGTATTCTTGGGTTTTACGTGAAAGGCACATGATGGACTTAACATAACCTTCTCTAACAACATAACGAGAGGGACTAAATTGGGTTTCGAAACACAAAAAAATGGACCACAAATGTACTTCACGAATTACAGGGACTAAATCCAAAAAGTGGTCATAGATGAAGGACCAAAAATGTAATTGACTCTTCTATTTATATGAGGAAACCAACCACTTACAACTTCGTCAAACAAAACCTGAGACAGTCCTCATCGTCTCTGTAGTCAAGCTTACCTTCAACCCCACCTCTCCCGCAAACGTCAAAAGCAAAAATACCCACCATCTTCCTCTTTTTCTCTCTCTAGAATCTAATTTATACTACACTCTCTCTCTCTCTCTCTCTAGAAACCTAATTGATGTTAACAGTTTTCTTCACTCTATATCTTGCTCTTTCGTTATAGTCAACTAATAGTCAACATGGGGAACATAAGCGAAGACATTAATGGCGTCGGAGCGCTTGAAGCTCTGGCGATCAATGACCCAATTTCGATTGGGGGAAATCAAGGCGATGAGGGATCGAGTATGGAGGAGACCCAATTGCAGAAAACTGAAAAGGATCCGAGAACAATTGCGAGAAAGTACGTTTGTTTGCTTTTTTACATGATTTTTTTTTTCTAATTCTTAAAATATATGCATCTTCTGCTTTTAGTTACTGCTGAGACGCAGTATCTTCAACAATAATAGCATTATCATCACTGTTTATTTGTTCATTTGTGCCATGATTCTTTTTAACAAGGAACTCTGCTTTGATTCTTTGGTAACGGACAGTTTTTTATTCATCTAATTGTTCTTCATTTTCTCGAGGCTCTTCAACTGGTTTCTCTGGGTAAAAGGGTGTTTGAATCTTCATATTTAATGTGTTTTTTTGTGCTGAAAGATAAGGGTAACCAGGTTTTTAGTTATTGCTTCATTTATGAGAATTATATGGATGGGGTTGTTGTTGATTTTCTTAAATACACACACATGCTGTCTTCTTCAATTTATTGCATTAAGCTTCTTTAATTACTTCATATATGTCCAGTTCTTGTGTTATGAAAGTGGAATTCTTTCAAATTATGTGTTCAAAGTTGATTACAGGATCATTTATTTCTGTATGTTTTGTTCATTTAATATATTCGTTCTGTGGGTCCTATTGATATAATGTGATGAGAATTTGTCGAGATTACGGTGCCGAGAAACGAAAATGAGACTCGAAGCAATGGGAACAGAGGAAAATAGTATGACCAAATGAGATGAATTACTAAATTGAAATATCCCTTAAATATTAATTTCAAATTTATTGTTTCCATCAAGTGTTTTAAGCTAGCTCTATTTAGTTAAGGAGTAAACAGATGTAAGAAGTCCTGCCTTAAAGCTCTAAATTTGAATACATAATGGGTGTTCAAATCCATTTCCAAACAAAGATTGGGTTAAAGATTTTGCGGCGATCCTTTTACGTGGGCTCCTTTCATTTATTACGTTTTATTTCGGATTTGGCTTCATATGTAGGAGGTTACGATGGCCATGTATCTATTCCCTTAGAAATTATGCTTCGGTTTCATTTTGCTTGAAGTCTCAAAAGGGTTAACAATTAGTCGATTAGGAGTTGCATTGATTTCAATCTTTGAAAACTTGCAGTCGATTAAACATTGTAAAAGTTGCTTGCTTTCAGCTCTAGACAACGTCTCCTTGCTTCGTTCATTTTTTTTTGTGTAGAATGGGAGATTTATGCTCACTTTGTCTCGAAATAAATGCAAGCAGTTCTCTTTTTCGATCTCGTGGCAAAAAATTTAAGTTAAAGCCATATCTATGTCCACAGTAAACGTTACAAAATATTAATACCAATTGATTTTGAATGTCTGTGATCACTTTGGTTTAGGTACCAAATTGAATTATGTGACAAGGCTTTGGTGGAGAACGTCATCGTGTATCTAGAAACAGGTTGTGGCAAGACTCACATTGCTGTTTTGCTTATCTACAAGATGAGATGCCTGATGAAAAAGCCTCGGAAGGATATATGTATCTTTCTTGCTCCCACAGTAGCTCTCGTTGAACAAGTGAGCCCTTTCTTCTTTACTTTTTTTGATATCTTAATTTAGTTTTTTCTTTATTCTTTTTGCTTGCTCTTAGTTGAAGGTCGATATTGCTTTAGTCATGCAAGAAACTAGAAATAGAAGGCAAACGATCCAACACATTCCATAATTTCATTGTTATCATCAATTATACCAACAATGCCCAAACTTCAGTAGGGATGTTGTTTGGTACGCGGACGGATTAAAGAATTGTGGATGGCTTTAGGGTTTTAATCTTACATGGGCAGTTTAGTAATTCACGAATCTTGTCCCATTTTCCTATTTTGGTGGGACAGGAAAAAAAATGCATTTTTGTCTCACTCTGGTCTTGTCTTGTCTCGGTCTAATGTCACGCCAAACATGGACAACGACCAGTTTAGGGGTTAGGGTTTAAGGTTCCGTCCTCTCCTGCATGCCAAACACACCGTAGAAGATCTTTATGATTTTCTTGTGATTATTAATTCCAAATTCAACGTGCTTATATTCCCTTTTCTTGATTGAGAAGAAACAATTTACTCAACGTTTCTAGGTAATAATGTTAATGCAAATTAATGTGTTTGTAATGCGATAATCAATGCAAATTACTTGCAATATTTTTCTTCGAATTACACTTTGAGATATTTGAAGAAATAAATCCACTAACTTATAATCTGACGAATGTTTCACTTGTATTACTGGGCCTTGATGGAAATTAAAGAATGGAACTGAAAACCTTTGATTTTATTGCGAAAACTGTAAATGAGTGCATCGGTATGACCAACATTATATCAAAACACAAGTTGATATAATTGAATTGGTTCTGACGGATCCCTCTCTGTTCCGTAACACACTTTATTTATGCAGCAAGCCAAGGTTATAAAAGATTCTATAGATGTAAAAGTTGGGATATATTGCGGGAGTTCTAATCGTTTGAAGTTTCACCGTGATTGGGAGCAGGAAATGGAACAATTCGAGGTTTGTTACTTTAGAACTTCCTCACCACGTACCATTGACTTCTGATTTTTTTGAATAACCATGATATCTAGCACCTCTATTTCAACTAGTCCATCGAGGCCTATGCAAAAATGAAATATGCATAATCTTTATGTATCGCAAAACACACACACACACACACACACGTAACCACAAGGGTTGTGGTGTAGTGGCTGAGGCCCTGGGGGATGTGATGGAATATCCCATCTGCCCAGGGTTCGGTTCCAGGCGTACACAACAATTGTGGCCAATGAGTTTATCAGGGCTGATTTCTTGTAGTCATAATTTGCCGGGATTAGTCTAGGCATAGCCTGGAACATCCTTCCAAAACGCATACACACATACACACACTTACACTTCTAACCTTTGATGAGGCTTCCAAGAGGTTGGAATCTACTGGTAACCTGGTTACCACTGGGTCAATGACCATTTTGTAAATTTTCCAATTTTCATGGGACGATGGGAGTATTATGTCCATCGTAGTTCTTGATTCTTGTTCTCCCTTATGTACATTGTCATGCAGGTATTTGTCATGACCCCACAAATTTTATTACATAATTTATCACATTGCTTCATCAAGATCGAGAACATTGCCCTTCTGATATTTGATGAGTGCCATTATGCACAAGTTGAAAGCGACCATCCTTATGCTGAAATAATGAAGGTAGTAATTAGCAATATCCACACCCACTACATATTTCTTCGTTCTTACAAGATATGATTGTTGACGCATACGACTTCTTTGCAATAATGCAGATATTTTACAAACCGGATGTTGCAAAACTCCCCCGTATATTTGGCATGACCGCTTCCCCAATATTTGGGAAAGGTAATATGATTCTGTTTCCTTTAGGAGTTGCTTATTGATTATTAATAATATGATATTACTTCTCTTTTGCTGATATCCGAAAGTTCACGTAAGTAAAAATATTCACTTCATCAAACTTTGCCTCTTTTATCATTTTAGGTGCTTCCATCAATAGTCTCGAGACCTTACTTCATGCCAAGGTCTGTTGCCTATGCCATCACGAGATTCATTTTCTGTCGATAAATTATATCTTATTTAACCATCAAATGTTTTTATAGGTTTATACTGTCAAAGACAGGGAAGAGCTTGATCAATTTGTGTCATCCCCTATAGTCAATGTCTATTATTATGGCCCAACCCCGAGCAATTCACCTTGCCCTCATGCTAGTTATTCTGGGAGACTTGAATCAATAAAGGCCCAGGTAGTCACATTGCCCTTTGATTATAAATTTGGTCCATTACTAGTTATGTTATTGATTTACGTATCAAATTTGTCAAACAGTGTATGTCAACTTTGCTCACAAAGATCGAGGATTCTACAGTTCTTAAGAACACCAAAAGGTTACTCCAGCGTCTTCATGATAACCTGCTGTTTTGTCTGGAAAATCTCGGCCTTTGGGGAGCATTACAAGTAAGTCTACATGGCATTACTGTGACGTATTCCTTTCTGTTGTATATATATGTGTATTTTACCTGATATTGAACATAAGAAAGATTTAAACCATGGACCCAAACCAAACCGAATTGAAGTTGATTGGTATGGGTCGAAAGTTTCTGGTGTTTAGTTTGGTTCAGAATTTTTTGAACCAATTAGGGACAGCTTGGCTTGTGTTCTAACCTAAGCCAAATCAGATCGAACCATATACACGTCTAGATACTTGAAATATTTTTATTGGAAGGTGAATGGTAGCTAATTTGGTTATTCTATGTCGTGGAAAAGGCTTGTAGGATTCTGTTGAAAGGTGACCTCTTTGAGCGGAATGCAGTTATCGAGGTAAATGATCAATGCAACGATGATATTTTATGTGGCAGTTATCTATCACAAGTTGCTGCCTACTTCGCTGCCGAATGCAAAAAAGGTAGTGCGACAATTTAAGAAGTCTTATTTCTATTTGCATATGAGTCCATCTGAAATCAATATCAAATCTAACTGCCCGTTAACCTTTTCTAGACTGCCCTGTTGAAGCAAATGGCACCGAAGCTGATTTATCAAGTGTTGACGCTTTGGGAGTTCCGTTTTTCTCATTGAAGCTCTTACGACTTGTTGGAATTCTTTCCAGTTTTAGGTTAGCAACGGATCCGAGTAAGTAGCTATAAAAGTTCGAAACTTTTTCACTGATAAATGATCTTTATGTGTTGGTTTCTCTCAGGGCACAGCCGGATATGAAATGTATTATATTTGTGAATAGAATCATAACAGCTAGATCGTTGGCATATGTCCTTCACCAACTTAGATTTTTGTCAGCATGGAGGTGCAGTTACCTAGTAGGAGTCCACTCGGGGCTAAAGAATATGTCACGGAAAACCACAAACGCCATTCTTGAGAAGTTCCGTTCGGGTGAGGTATGAAATTTTATTTCACACCCTCACCTATTTCTTACTCGCTTATTTTATCTATTTGTTCTGCAAACCGGGGGTCTTAACTGAAACAGCCTCTCTACCCCTCCGGGTAGAGTTAAGGTTTGCATACGTCTTACCCTCCCCGACCGCTACCTCTGTATGGGATTTACTGGGTTCCTTTCGTTTGGTTATGGCAGCTGAATTTGTTAGTAGCAACTAAAGTTGGAGAGGAAGGACTTGATATCCAAACATGCTGCCTTGTTATACGATTCGATCTCCCGGAAACCGTTGCTAGTTTTATACAATCAAGAGGTCGAGCACGCATGCCACAGTCTGAATATGCATTTTTGGTGGACAGGTTATTTTTTGATGCCCTTTTTGTATAAGAAAATTTTGACATAAATACTAAATTATTATAGAACTTAAACTATATTATGGTGCAGGGGGAGCCAAAGGGAGTTGAATTTGATACAGAATTTTTGTGAGGATGAAGCGCAGATGAATAACGAAATAACTTCACGAACATCTACGGTGGAATATGTTGATTTTGAGGAGAAAGTATATAGAGTAGATTCAACGGGTGCCACCATTGGTTCTGGATCTAGTGTTTCATTACTTCATCGATATTGCTCAAAACTTCCACACGATGAGTAAGATTTAGTTCTCCACATGTTTGGAATATCATCAAAAGGTTTTAATATCCATTTTGAGATATATCGTTCAAATTGTTTTGCAGATTCTTCAATCCTAAGCCATGGCTATATTACTTTGATGATGCTGAAGGAACGGTTTGCCACATAATTCTTCCTCCTAATGCTCCGATTCACCAAATCATAAGTTCTCCTCAACCATCTAGGGAAGCAGCAAAAAAAGATGCCTGTTTGAAAGCATGTCAACAGTTGTATGAATTAGGTGCCTTGACCCACTATCTCTTGCCGGACGATGAAGTTGATGACAACAATGAAGACGATTCCGATTCAGATGGTGATGATGGTTAGTTCTTTCTTCAAATGATCTTATTTATCACCTCACCCTCCATTTGCACAAAGCCCAGGGTCTTAACTGAAACGGCCGCTCTACTCTTTTGGGTAGAGATTAGGTCTGCCTACATCCCACCCCCCTAGACCACACCTCCGGATGGGATATATTGGGCTCGTTTGGGGTTATTTACGTCCTCACAAGTTTTTTTTAAATCCATGACCTGTAGACAAGTTTCTAGGCATTATTGTGCATGGAAGAGGCATTCTTCTGTTAAGCAATGACATACTCCAAATCTTTGAGAAGGTCATGGATTTATTAATAAAAACTTTCAGAAAGTCATTCAACCAAAGAACCGGCTCGTTTGGTTTGGTTTGGTTTCCTTCTGTTTAATGTTCTTTATTTATGTACAGAGGAAAGTTCAAGGAGAGAGCTTCATGAGATGCTTGTACCATCTGCCCTTCGGGAACGATGGATTAAAGTGGAACGTAAAAAAGTGTCTCTCAGCTCGTATTTCATCAAATTTAGCCCTTCACCTGCTGATAGACTATACAAAGAGTTTGGCCTATTTCTAAAAGCACCCATCCCTCAAGAAGCAGAAAGAATGAAACTTGACCTCCAATTGGCACGTGGTAGATCTGTAATGACTGAGATTGTCCCTTGCGGCGCTTCAGCATTTTCTGACAACGAGGTAATCAAATCTTGATGATTTTCATTAAATAGCTATGTTTTGTAAACTAGCTGATAAGCTAACTGTTGGCTGATAAGGGCTAATAAACTAGTCATGTTTGGTAAAACTAGTTGATAAGCTAGATCACAATGCAAAATGACCTAAACGGACATGGTGAAGAATATGAGGGGTATAATTGGAAAAGAAGTGGAAAAATTCCTTGGAGCTGATTGAAACGCTACTTGAAGTTGTATTTCAAAAAGCTAGCCAGCCAACCAAATGGGCTTTTTCAATAAGCTCAAAAAATAAGCTAGTTTATGGTCACCACAAATTAAAGTACTGTCAATTTTCTTGATAATTTATACAGATTGTGCTAGCTGAGTGGTTTCAAGAGATGTGGCTGAAGGCCATAATAGACAAGTCGGAATTTGTTAAGGATTTTGTTCAATTAGGCAAAGATGATGTCAGCAGTCCAATCTCGACGTTCTACTTATTGCTACCTGTGATCGTAAATAAATACAGAGGATCAATGACTGTGGACTGGAAGCTCATTACAAAATGTTTGTCATCACCAATTTTCAGAACTCCGAAAGATAATACGTGTGATCGAACATCTCATATGAATAATTGCTTGTATCTTTCCAATGGGCCCACAAAGATCGATGACATTTTGAATAGTTTGGTATACGTCCCTTGCAAGGATACTTTTTACTTTGTTTCTGGACTTTTCCCCGAGAAGGATGCCTTCAGTCTATTTAAAGAAGAAACAAATTATGCCAACCACTTTGCTCAAGCGTAAGTTTTCACTCTTCTAGTTGTAGATTTGCCTAATTTTTTCCTTGCAAGAAATTGGTGATTGGGAAGCTTTTTTTTTTCTAATTTATGAACAGATTTGGAGTTAAATTTTTACACCCATACCAGCCTCTTTTGAAAGCAAAACAACTCTTTCGTTTGGACAACCTGCTGCGGAAGAGAGGAAGTGCGGGTAAGTTATAGATGGTTTAGTTGTGTACATAATTTAAATGGAAGGCACGACTATTTGTCAAATATCTAAAATACCTTACAATTTAGATAGATAATGAAAACTTGTGGAGTCATGAAGACCAAACCGAACCAAACTGAATGAAACCCAGTATATCCCTCCCGGAGGTGGGGGCTGGGGAGGGTAAGATATGACAGACCTGACCTTTACCAGGGGCTGATGCACCTTCAACTGGGTCATATCAATTTGGAATCTTTCCCAAATAGAAAATGTTGCGTTTCTCATAGGATATCCTAAAAAGAGTTGGGTTTTGATTTTCTTGAGTTATTATTGGGAGTAATTGTCAGGTCTATGTTTTTTCATTAATTTTTTATGATATTGAAACAGAACCACGTGAAAAGGAGGAGCACTTTGTGGAGTTACCTCCTGAAATATGCGTACTAAAAGTCATCGGATTTTCAAGGGACATCGGAAGTTCACTGTCTTTATTGCCTTCAGTCATGCATCGATTAGAAAGCAATCTCGTGGCAATTGAACTGAGGCGTAGGTTATCTGCTTCATTCTCTGAAGGATCAGAAGTTTCTGCACAACGTGTAAGGCTACCAAATCCTCATGATTATTCTTCTTTTTAACGAGTTGAAGAGATTTAACACTTTTGAATCTATCAGGTTCTTGAAGCACTTACAACCGAGAGATGCAACGAGCGGTTTTCTCTTGAAAGACTTGAAGTGTTGGGTGATGCATTCCTCAAATTTGCAGTTGGCCGTCACCTTTTCGTATTACACAACTCGCTTGATGAAGGACAACTTACTAGAAAACGTTCCAATATGGTTAACAATTCCCATCTGTTCAAGCTGGCATTATCAAACAATTTGCATGTAAGTTCTTATGTGCTGTATACTTTTGAGACGGCATAAAGGTGTAACGCATTTGATAATTTATGCAGGTATATGTACGTGATCAATCATTTGAGCCTTCCCATTTTTATCCTTTTGGTCGAAGATGTTCAGTGAGATGCACTGACAGCACACAAGTGGAGATCCATTCTTCACATGAGAGCAATTTGAAGACGGGTGAAAACACTGAAGTTAGATGCGATAAAGGTCATCACTGGTTGCAAAAGAAAACCGTGGCAGATGTTGTGGAAGCGCTTGTTGGAGCGTTTATAGTCGACAGTGGCTTTAAAGCAGCAATCGCATTTCTCAAATGGATCGGTATTCAAGTCGACTTCAAAGACTCACATGTTGCTAAGATATGCCATTCAAGCAAAATCTTTACCGCTCTGAGTGCTCAAATTGACATTCCTGCCCTTGAAAATCTTTTGGGGTATCAGTTTCACCATAAAGGTCTTCTCTTACAAGCCTTCTTACATCCATCATACCATAATAACTACGGTGGCTGCTATCAGGTAACCGCTCAACTCTTCATGTGGGTGGTCGGCTTTAATTAAACTATACTTTTATGATTAGATTTTGTTTTATTTTATATTGTTAATTTTTTTGTGTCCCTGCTTGAAAAAATATCTGGATCCGCCTCCGGGGGTGCGTAAACGATTGCATTAGAACTTTTGATGACATTTCCATATGGGTGAATGCAGAGATTGGAGTTTCTTGGAGATGCTGTGTTGGATTATTTGACCACATCTTATCTTTATTCGGTATATCCAAACTTGAAGCCGGGTCAGTTGACTGATTTAAGATCACTATCGGTCAACAATAATTCCTTTGCGCGTATTGCTGTAAATCGATCTTTCTATAAGTTTATGCTATGTGATTCTAGTAATTTGATCCAGTCTATGAATAAGTATGCCGAATTCTTCAAGACTTCTGCTTCAGAGAACATTTTGGCTGAAACAGTACCATGCCCCAAGGTAACTTATATAATTACTGCTATAGATATTTCGAGAATCGAGGAACTAGATATTCATAAAGAATATTATGAATATTCATTATGAATATTTGGTTCTCATGGTTTTCAGATTGGACCTGTTGCAAACTTTTAGATTACATCTTGTTTTGATGATCTATGATCTTGAAAACCGTTATTCTGTTTTCAGGCTCTTGGTGATTTGGTTGAGTCTTGTGTTGGTGCCATTCTTCTTGATTCTGGATTCAATTTAGAAGTGGTTTGGAAGATTATGATTTCGTTTCTGGATCCAGTCATGAAATTCTCAGCATTGCAGCTTAACCCCATTAGAGAACTTCAAGAACTTTGCCAGTTTTATAATTGGGAATTAACATTTCCTTCGGTAAAGAAAGATGGGGTGTTCTCGGTTGATGCAGTCGTTGATGGAAAAGAAGTTTGTGAGACTGCTTGTGCTACCAATTCCAATAAAAAAACCGCCAAGAGAATCGCTTCCCAAAAATTGTATTTGTCTTTAAAGGTAAAAAAGATGTACAACCTTCGTTCTTTTTTTCCGTTTTTGCTTCTTTCTTTCTTTGGGGTTTTTGTTTGCTAGCTTATAACCTAACCTATTTTTCAAGCTTATTGAAAAAACCCTGTTTTTAGTAAGCCATAAACTAGCTTTTCGCAAAGCAACTTCAGATGGCTTTTCAATAATCTTCTCGGGCTTTTTCCTACTTCTTTTTTCCAATTATGCCCCTTATATGTTACACTCGAGCAATTTGTCAACATGTCATTTTACATTGTCATCTAGCTTATCAGTTTTTACCAAACGTGACTAGTTTATCGGCTTGTTTGCCATACAAAGTCTAAGATATTGTGTTTGCAGGAAAAAGGTTACAAGACGAAGGTGAAATCTTTAGAGGAAATCTTGAAGTTGAGCCAAAAGATGGAGGCGAGATTGATTGGATATGATGAAATACCCTCCAATATAGATGTTTCATTTGCCGACCACATTGAAGACTTGAAATCAAATGAAGTTAGAAATATTTCCCGAGAAGTGCAGTCCCGGCCTGTAAATTCTGCGAAAAGCAGTCGCTATATTCAACGTATGGTGCAGCCCACACCTGACGTATGCAACCCTTCTTCAGACACCGGTGATAGCAATTCACAAGCAACAGCAGGCAAGTTCATTGGATTCTAAGCTTATGTTTAGCAAACTAGCTGAATAACTAGTAAGCTAGTCATGTTTGGTAAAAATTAGCTACTAAGCTAGATGACAATGTTAAATGACTTAAAACATGTTAAAAAATTATTTGGAAGAAAGATAAAGGGCATAGTTGGGAAAAAGTGGGAAATAGTTCCTGGAGCTTATTGAAACAATACTTGAAGTAGTTTTCTAAAGAAAGCTAGTTTATGGCTTTAACCAAACAGCGCTAGCTTATTGGTTTCCAAACATGGCCTAATGCGTTCATTCGACCTCTATGCCTAATATAACATGAAACCTCATTTTCAGGTGATGGGTTGCGAAAGTCATCAGCAAAATCACATTTGTACGAAATTTGTGCTATCAACTGTTGGAAACCACCATTGTTTGAATGTTTCGAAGAAATGGGACCAGCCCACCTCAAACAGTAAGTTCAAGCACGCCATCGTTGGTTCTTTTGTAGGTTTGCATTTTTAGCTTAATCTAAAAGCTGGTTTTGCAAAATGACTCTCTACTTTATTTTTAAGAGCTCGTTTGGTTCGCGGAATTTGAAGGAATTTGACGGAATTTGAATGATAAATTCCTTTGACTAAATTCCAATTCCTTTGTTTGGTTCATTTCTTGAAATGGATGTAATCCTTCAAATTCCAATGAATTCTACAAGTTAAGGAATTCATCATTCCTTAGCATAATGGAAGGAATTGAATTCCATCAATACCCACAACGACCATGCTATTACTGTTTGTGATGCCCCACCCCTAACCCCCCACTACCACCACCACACCACTACTGTCACTGCCACCCACCCTACCCCACCACTAACCACCATGCCATTACTGTTGTCATCACACCCACCCACCCCTGGGCCCCGGTCACTCACTGCACATCCCTGCTACGACCATGCTACTACCGTTACTACCACGCCCCTAACTTAACCCCCACCACCACACCATTATTGTCGCTATCACAGCTGCCATTCACCCCCACCCCACACTACTCCACCCCACCACTAACCACCATGCCACTATTGTCGTCGTTATACCCATCCACTCCCAGCCACCCGACCACCATCCCACCACTATCATCGTCATAACTGCCACCCATCCCCACTACCCCACCCCCGCCCCTAACCTAACCCCCACCCCTCACCATTATTATCGCTTTCACAACCGCCATTCACTCGCAACCCACCCCGACCCCAACCCTAACCCACCACTAAATACCATGCCACTATTGTTGTCATTATACCCACGCACTCCCAGGCCGCAACCACCCGACCACTATCATCGTTACATCTACCACCCCGCCAATACCCCACCCTACTCCAACCCACCACTAACCACCATCCTACCACTATAGTCTTCACTTGCCACCCAATGCCTCACCTCACCCCGCCTCCCCCAACAACCCCACCTATTGTGGGGTAGGGGCAGGAGTGGTGGGGGCGGGGTTGCGGCAGGGTGATAGCTGTGATGACGACATTAGTGACATGGTAGTTGGTAGGGCGTGGGTGGGGCGATATGTGAGATGGTCCAAACAAAGACGATTGTTCCAATTCTATTGAGAGATTTCATTCCAATTCCTACCAACCAAATGCATGGTCAAATTCCATCAAATTCCATTCCAATTCCTTCAAAGTCAAATTCCTTTGATGGATTTCAATTCCATCAAATTACATTATGTGAACCAAACACCCCCTAAGTGTTTGGTTCTTGTGCAGGTTTGCATTCAAAGTGACTGTAACGATCGAAGAAGCCTCAAGTACAATCTTGGAGTGCATTGGAGATCATCGAGCTAAAAAGAAAGATGCAGCGGAGTTTGCAGCTCAAGGCGTGATTTGGTACTTGAAGAAAATTGGACATTTAGAGAAGTAGAATTTGGTATTTAATTCGGTCAATCGTATGCATATAGTATACAGTTTTTAGCCGTATTTACAACTTATTAAAGCAAAGGGCGTCCATAGTATAGGGCCCTGTATACGCACACCGGCAAATTCACCATTTATGCAGTTTGTATGCCTAATCTTGGTACGATTTAGGCAAATCCTTTGCGGGGTGTTTGGTTTGATGCAATGGGGTGTTTGGTTTGATACAATGGTTTTGAGGAATTTGGATTTCGTGCAAGGATTTGAAAATTGGAGAGATTTAGATTTGAAATTTTTGTTGTGTTTGGTTTGTAAGATTTGGAATGGAATTTAATTTAATTATTTATGACTAATTTGTAATAAGAAATTATAAATAATTATAAAAATAACTAAATTGCTTTTTTACTAATTGATTAGTAGAAAGACAACTGTTTTTAATATATTTTAAATACTATTATATATAAATCCTACAAAATCCCGTAAAATCTCAACCACCCTCATGGGATTTCAAAATCCTACGGGACGTTTGGTTCGTAGGATTCCGACGGAATTCGAAATAATTAGAATGATCAATTCCATTGATCAAATTCTGTTACGGCAATAGTTTAACTAAGGAATGAAAATTGAATTCCAAACATTTCATCATTCATGGATTTAGTCATTTCATCACAATTGAGAAGGAACTCAATTTCATTTCGTTACATTTTATCAAATAGACTAAAATATCTCAATCTTCCCTACTTGATCTCAATCACCACTAACCAACGTTGACCATCAACGACCACCCCCGATCGAACCACAACCAACCACGACCCACCACCATCCATTTGAACCACCCGTTGACCACCGATCGGAACTACCGCCGACTACCGCCATCTGAACCGCCACAGACCACTACTGATTTAAATCACTGCCGACCACTACCGATCTGAACCACTGCCGACCAGTACCGATCTGAACCACCACCGATCACCGTCGATCTAAACCACCTCAGACCATCTCCATCTGAACCACTGTGGATCACTTCCGATCTGTACCACCGTCAACCACCACTGATATGAACCACCGTCAATCTGAACCACCGTTGATCTGTATCATCGTCAATCTGAACCACCATCGACCACCACCAATCTAAACCACAGTAGTTGGATTTCAGTTTCAAATTTTTTTTCAAAATTTACCAATATTTCATTCCAATTTCCAAGACTACATTATGCGAACCAAACAGACTGATTCTAATTTCTTTAACAGATTCCACGAAATTCATTTTATGGAGGATTTGTATCTGCCTCATGAGCCGGATGATTGCCTCCGCGGAATGCTGGAGGATATAAGGGGGACCCTTTTTGTCAGATACGGGTCAATATTCCAAGGTTAAACAGACGGTCAAACTTAATAACATTTCATTTCAATATCTTCAAAGTCAAATTCTTTTGACAGCTTCCATTTCATCCAAGAACATTTTGGAACCAAATGCCCCTTTGTTTGAGGGATTTCGAAGAAATCCTAGGATTTAAAATCCGAGCAATCATGCAAATCAAAACACGATATTGGAATGGATAGAATTCCAAATCATACAAATCCTTCCCATTCCTACAAACCAAACGGACCTTTAAAGTCTCTTCTGCTATTTCGCTGAATAATTATTTGAAAAGATTTGTTATATATGATTTTAGAAACTTGATGCATATTGCATTTGCTAGATTCTTATTTTACAGGTTAAAACTTAAAACATGTGGGTCAACGAGATGGACCGGTCTATGTCCGGCAGGCTAAGGACCGATGACAGACCTAGAGGTGTGTAACACCCCTAAAATAGGAGTTAATTTAAATTGGAAAGTCAATAGAGAAAAGTACCTATACAAATAAAAATCACCGGAAAGGGAGAAATTGTAAAGAGTTTACAACCCAAAGGAATAGAAGATAAATAAAGCCTAATTTGACATTACTATTAATCCAAAATGAGCCTCTAACGGCATCCAATCACTTTGCTCAAGACTTTGGAGGCCCACAGCTAGGAGAACGTGATATACATGTCATTTAAAAAAATGTATTAGTTTGACGTCTAGTGAGTCCAAACAGTTATAGATAACGTAAATAATCAATGCAGTAAAAGTTTCCAAGCTTAATTTAAATCCCAAGTTCATATATTTCAATTAAGGGCCATGAAGCCCAAAATACATCTCATGATGATGGAGGAGACCCGATTTACATGGTTAGTGGCGGAACACATGAGTAAGCCACAACTCTATGTTATAGAGTTACTCTAAGGATCAATGGCCAATGAGTTAAACCAACCATGATTTATAGCTCAAGGCCCCCCATGATCCCAATTATACTCATGAGCTAGAAATTACACTATATGGTTAATGACCAGTATCCGGCTCCAAGAGTCCATACCATAATGCCTTCGATAACCTAATGCCTATTTCTTTCCACATTTGAAGCAGACATCATCAGTTTTCTTGTGATGAGACAAAGTTTGATTGATGAAATATGGTCTTTTTGAGAATCATTCTTTTGATCTTCTTTGAAGGCTGCTTTTTCTGACAAATTTATTAAAACTAGTTTTCTAACCGCACGTTGCGCGGTAATGATAATATCATCTTCAAAAGGAATGTTATAGACTAAATATGAAGTACTCTTCTAAAAAATTTTAGACAAATGTGAGTACATTAAAAGTTTTTAAGGGATTTGACAACAATCTTAGAACCATATGCTAATTTAAGTTATCCAACTATGCTTGAAAATCGTGTTGCGAAGTACTCTACAAATGTTTGACTAATGTTAGTAGTTTGTCTAATTAGAAGTCACAGTTTTAATTGAAATTTTATCTAAGGTGACAAAATCACGATTTTAATTTTATAACAAATTAAATTGAAATCTTATTTTTGAAGTTACGAAGAAGAAACGTTTTATAATATTTCTAGTGAAAATTAGAGGAGTGCGTAAATTGTAGCAACAATAGTGGAAGTCCAATACGATGCATGAAGAACCCCATCATCAAGCTAAGATAATGGATTTTCCCTCATGAAAAATAAAATTAATATCAAGTGGGGTCGATGACCCACATATCAGATATTAAACTGACAAAATATTATACTTTATCGTAACATTCTATAATATTTGAATTGTAATTAAAGAGGTGTGTCAAATCGTGATAGTATTAACATCATGACGACAGATAAATAACTACCTCATGTTGTCAAATATTTGATTGGTTTCCAACCATGGTTATAGATTTCAAAAGGGTTATCCAAATAAAGACAACTCTATGAGCCAAACCTAATATTTAACACAAAGGCATCCAATTCACCTTTTTTATACACTTCATTTTGTTCAAAATTTTCAACTCTTCACCAATGTGGGGATATCTCAAACTCAACCACAATTCACCAACACCTCAATACTCAATTCTCATGATGTCACATCAATACTCTTGGTTCTTCCTTTAATAGATATATAGATTTGATGCAACTAAGGAAAGAGAATCATTTATGTCTTGCATTGATAAACCATTGATCCCACTGTCAAAATCTCCGTTGGGATCAAATGTGGATTTATCAATGTGTTCATCAGAGTCTTCAGAATCTATTCATATGATGCATGTGACATAGATCCCACTCTTTTAGAATCAGAAGAAACAAAAGCAATATTTGTACATTTAGTTTCTTGAAAAACATTTTTCCTCGGTACCTTAGTTTGCTCATAATTATATAAAGTACCATATAGAGCAGTGAGAGACATGTGATGAAGATCTTTAGAGGTTTTTAAACACACAATTATATTTTCCCATGAGTCAAGCAAAAAGTCCATAAATTTGCACAATACCTCATCACTATCAAAAACTTTATCATGCACTTTAAGATCATTTAGAAGAGTATTGAACATGAGATATTCTTTCTCGTGACATATAAACAATTTGTATTGTTTGATGAGATTGATCCTTTTGCTCTGCTTAACTTGAAAGTTCCCTCATACGAAACAATAACAGTGTTCTACATATCTCTTGCAGTGGTAAGATTCATGATAGAGTGATGAACATTATCTGGAAGAGATATTACGATGATAATCTTAGCTTTAATGTCAACTACAACTTGTTTCTTATCATCTTCTCTCCAGCGATCTGGAGTCTTGATGATTTGTGTTCCTAGTCCGATAACTTTGTCATTTTCATCTCTATCTCCAGGAAGAAAGGTGGTAGGAAAATATGGACTATTTTTTAGAATATTTAGGATTTGGTTGTCAACTTCTTCAAAAAAGTGTCTTCCGATTTTCCCAAAGAGAAAATTATCCTTTTGAACACGAGGAGGTTTTGATAGAGAGCCATTGTTATTGGCTGTAGAAGTCATTTCAAATCTTGTTTATAAGATTAAATAAACCGCTCTGATACCACTTGTTGCTCCTGGTATATAATGACTTACAACATGATGTGTTTGTAAAAAGGGGGAGGGTTGAATATAATAAGAAGGTACTCTTTCAGATCTGAAGAACTAAGATAGTCTTCAGAGGGTTGAGGCCGAATTTGCCTAAAAACTATCACTCAAAAATTCTTTCAAAACCGGGTGAGTTGCAACATATAACAGGGATGACCTGTTATAACCACCATTGCATTAAATGTCGCTTGCCAACTTTAATGCATGTCTTTATTTGATTTGTTGATCCATGCATGATTGTACTCTTCATTTCAGCCTTTGAATTTGATGTATACACTTGTTAACCCAACTCATTCTTTTGTATGCAGAAGGAACAGTAAGGAAGTATGGTATTATTAGAATAGTATTTTAGAACTTACTTTCAATGATGTCATAACTGGGTTCCAATTATATAATTTGGGTGGTTTTAAAAGGTTTTGATAAGTAAATCAATTTAACTAATTGTGGTTATGTTGATATTTTACTTAATTATCTTCCACTGCCCTAAATGTTTTATGTATGAAATTCTCATCATAGGTGTGAAAATATGAGTTTTAAAATAGTAAAACTCCATCGCCTGTGTTTTGATAATATAAAAGTGAGAGTATAAGACTATCTTATTTGCCTATTCTGTTTTCAGAGAAAAGGAAAAAAGAGAGAAATTGTGTGTTTCTTGTGTGAAAGACTGCATAAATTTGTTAAGAAAAGAAGTTGATTTTGTGATATTATTTGCGGTTGTTGCTGTGTGATTCATCTTCAAATACATGCATAAGGTCAGTTTATGTTATCAAATTTATTTGATATTTAAAATATTGAACCGCATGGTTCATATGTGGAAAAAAATTGATAAACAGTTCTTGAAAGCTGTTTGAGTTTGATGGTGAATATGTATAGGGCTTTAAGGTTCTTGTATAAGTTTTTGTTTTGAAACGGTTTAATTGTCATTTTGGTAAAAAAGATGGTTTTGGGTCATGAGTACATTATGATATGTTGTAATAAGGGTGACACATCAAGAAGTTGCGTACATTGGTAATAAGGGCAGCATAATCAGGAGATGCGTACTTTTGTAACAAGGGTGACATACTCAGGAGTTGCGTACATTGGTAATAAGGGTGGCATAATCTATTTTATAAAAATGATGATCTTTTGATCATGGGTTTTGTATCACATTTGTGAGGTGATGATCTTAGGTTATCGTATTTGTGTGATATGAGGACTTGGGTTGTCACATTCTATGGATGTGATGAAAATAAGTGTTTCAGGACCAGAGGGGCTCTGGTTGGTCCTCGTGTGGAACCAGAGGATCTCTGGTTGTATGTGAGACTTTGGTTTTTAAAACATTTAATTTATCTTGGATCAGAGGCCCTGTATGTACTATACAGAGGCTATGTGTCTGGAAATGTAATAACAAGTCTAAGCTCTATATCCGAGCTCTGTATCTAAAATCTTTTGGACTTGTTTCATTTTCAAACTTGTTTTTTTATTTACATTTCAAACCTAGAGCCTAGCTCGACGAGAAGAGGTTCTGGAGGACCTCTGGTTGGCTTGGTCTTTAGGCGAATTATTCACATTATTTGTTTAAGTCTTTGAGAAAATATTCGAATCATTGGTACAGAACCAGAAAGACTCTGGTTGACCTTTATGTTTAACCATAGGGCCTCTATTTATATTTTAAAACCTAAATCTTTTAAGTTCAACTCAATTCTTATTTTTCATAAACTTTAGCCAATGACCAAGAGCTCTGGTTGGTCGTTTATTCTTGATTCTTAAAGATTGATACCAAGAGCTCTGGTTGGTCGCATATCCTTGTATATTTTAAAAGTTGAGATCAGAACTCTAGTTGGTATGACTAGAGGCTCTGGTCGACTAGAAAAGCTCTGGTTGGTTTGACTCAGGATTTCTTTTTTCAAGTTAAATGACCAGAGGAGCTCTGGTTGGGTATATTTTGTGTTTAAATTGTTTCAAGTTGATCCAAACTTCAAGATTTAAGATTTTAGTGACTTTGCTTTGTTTAGTGTTGCTCTGGCTTAAGAGCCAGAGGAGCTCTGGTTCTTAAGGGTGCATTTGGTATGCATACTACATGGGATATGATGAGACAAAAAAATAGTCTCATGTTTGGCATGTCATAGACAACAAAAACATAGGACAATGTGAGACTATTTTTAAGTTTCATGAGACAAATTTTGACATTTTTTGTTCCACCAAAAAAGGTGGAACAACATGTGACTCAATTTAAAATTACAATATTACTCTCGTTATTTCATTCCAATACAAAACTTAATTCATCCCCATCTGTGCATCTCATCTCTAGGGCTGTAAACGAACCGAACGAACACGAACGGAGGCTTGTTCATGTTCGTT